GGACACACGAAAAGTGTATGTGTCGATTTGTTGATGAAGTAAAATGCTTTGGATGGACGTCGCTAGTTTGATATTTTGACGTCATTGCCACACACAAGATGAAATTTACTCGCACACGACTTGCTATGATTAGCACCAATGGTGCCGCTCTTTCACTCAAGAAAATTCAATTTTCATCTTGCTGTGATGTGAGACCCCGGCATCCTTTCAAATTGGGTCCCTCCTCATATTGTGACGATATTGTTGCGATGTCACCAGAACGGCACTGCAAGAAGCAGTCTTTTGAGGGTAGATTGTGACATGTTGAAATAGCAAATTGCAGTGCAGTATATACGTGTATGCTTCGTGTTGTGTTTTGCCATCCTTGGTGGAGTTCCAATAAGGACAGTGAGAGGTATTATGTACAATGTGACTTCAACAGGAGGATGGAAAATACAAATATGAAGGAATAAGGAGAGAGAGAGAGAGAGAAAAAAAGTGGATGGAAGGTATAAAATGAAGATCTATACAAAATGCAAGATAGGTACCTGGGTTAGATAGAAAAGAGCCAAACGAATATATAACCACAAAAGAAAAGATGAAGAATAGATATCTAGAAGTGGCTAGAAGTTACTGGCACCAAAAAAAAAAAAACGATTTAAAGAATGATTGAAAGGGAGAAATCTACGACAACACATCTTATTCGGTTTAAGGGTTAAATGGTCGATTTCGCGCCGGTAATATTAGAATCATAATATTTCACAACAAACAAATATTGTTTAGCAGCACACTATCGACTCTTTGTAGTGGATATATCACTGTCTGTCTACATTGCTTCCAAGAATAAACCTTGATGACTTTCATCCACGGACACTGTTACGATGTCATTTCCAATCAGTGTGATGTGAAAAGGAATTAAAATTGGACGTAGAATGATGGAACATAATATGAGGAGAGGATTTGTGTGAGATGGCCAGCGATAGAACAACGTTTTTTTCAAGCCATTTTACACTGCGAATAATATCATGTCTGTGCACGGTAAAAACGCTGTTTAAAAAAGTGATGTTCACTTACAGTTGTACACTATCTTAAACAACAGTTGAACAAATTGTAAACAACGTTGCTCGAAACGAAATTAGTTTTGTTAAACATTCGCTGTTTAAAATTTAATGACTGCTATATTTACTATACGAGAGCTTTTAGACAGTGTTGTTTACATATGACGTCATGTGTCTCGTGCCAGTAAAGTGCCCGTTGGCTAAAAGCTTTATTTCACATTGTTATGTTTAGAAACAGGTTCCTTGAAACTAACATGCAATTGAAATTAACATGCCACTTAGAAATGTAGTGCAGCTGTTTAGGCACAGCTCATTGTTATTCATATTAGATGCATACACACAATGCAAGTGTATGCAAGGGTCTTCTGTTGACTACACAGATTGATACATATGTAAAAGCACATGGATATTGAGTCTGGATTAAACTACCAAAGCAACCACACGTGTTTCTGCAGGCTCCAGTTTGTTTGTCTCTAAACTTACATTTATTTAGCTTAATAGTTATTACTTTCCAGCCCACAACACAACACACATCATGGCCGACCAAGCTACCGACGCGCTTCTAAGTGACTGCAGGGATTCAGTGGCTTAATTGAAATCACTTTTCTATTAACCAATTTGAAGTTTTTAACTTATAGCGTAAGTTCACAGTTAAAATTTTCAGTATCTGTACGCAAATGTCAGAATATAGGTAGACTTAAAATCGTCGCGTCATGCAGTGCGGCACTGATCGCGCACTCGGTTATAGATCGTGTGCTAAATTCCTTGCCATAGAGATTGCATGCATCCATATATATGCAGTTTATACGTGCGTGCATGCGCGCTCATGCAAAATGGGCACTGTTTTGGCGCTAATTCATGAATTGCAGAATTACCCTAGTCTTCATATACCTATATAGAGACCCAGAAGTAGTGGTGCACTTATTCAGAGTATCAAACCCAACTTATACCCCATTATACAACCCTTTTGTTGTAAACAACCCCCACTGAACAACAGCTCCTTTTTAAACAACTTTCTTTAAACAACCCAGTTGGTTTAAACAACCCCCACTGAACAACAGCTCCATTTTAAACAACTTTCTTTAAGCAACCCAGTTGGTGTAAACAACCCCCACTGAACAACAGCTCCGTTTTAAACAACTTTCTTTAAACAACCCAGTTGGTGTAAACAACCCCCACTGAACAACAGCTCCGTTTTAAACAACCGTCTTTAAACAACACCGGTTGTTTAAATTGTGATTTTAAACAAGTTGTTCAAAATGTTGATCAACTAAGTGTTTAAACTTTAAACAACTCGAGTTGCTTAACATTTTAAACAACTCTTAGATCAGGTCACCCGTTAATCAAGAGTTGTTTAAACTTTTAAACAACTTGTTCACAAAAATTTTAACTGTGTGTGACCAAACTTACTGGCCCGAATTCGCAAAGGAGGTTTGTTGACAAATCTAGGTTTATGTACGTCATATGACGCTTTTCGACGCGTTTCAAACCAAGGTTTGTACAAACCTCGTTTGTGAATTCGGGCCAGTTTGTCTGGCCTATATGACAATTTTGCGTGCCGTCGATTTCATGAAGTCTATAAATAGGTTTTTCTTTTTGTACCGTACCTTTCCTTGATTGGTTAACAGTACATGCAAATTGCATCAATGCAACAAATAGAGTTGTTCATGTTACACTAAAGATAAGAAAAATGGTTTGTTTTTACCATGGACATATTTCTGATATAATCAAATATGACGAATTCCAAGATCTCACTTTCACGAACACCTCTAAAAAAAAATGTTATCACGGAGAGGTTAAAAATCAAACTGAAATTAGATTTGTCAATAACATTGTCAAATGTTTTGCAAAAAAGCTATGCAGCTTAACAAAAATAAATTAAAGTCGTACAACAAACTAAACATAAGGCAAATACTTCCAAAAACAGAGTTGTTAAATCCAATGTTTTTCCTAGAAAGTTCTAGGGATTTGAATACTATAGGCCTATATCATATTGATTACATCAACTGAATTGTATTTCTTAAAGCAATCGCATTATAAGGATTATGTAATCAGAAGCCTCAGCGAAAACCAAGAGTGAATCCATGGAATAGTCTTTTACAATATGATACATAAGAAAAGAGAAGAACAAATCTCACATTATTAATTGCATTAGGCATGTTTGGGTTTAATTTTCATTCATCTACTTGATTGTAGCTCGCAACTACAACGTTAATCGCAAGCCATACCTTTATTACCTTAATGTCCATGACTTTAACGATTTTTACAAGAAGAGCCAGTAAATGTCCGATTGTGTAGTACACTGTCGTATTTCTCGGTGTTCTACCATGGACATTATTTGACGAATGAACCACAGATATATACTTCTTGTTTCTTGAAACCCATTTAGCCTAAGTCTATCATGTTCTTGTTATATTTTATTACACTGGCTATAAACAAACAAAAAACAGATCAGTGTAGTGAATTTGTGTCACGTTGAAACAAGAAACATAGTCCCAAAGCACAGAAATTAACTCGATTCAAAATATATATTATCATAATTGTACCATAACGACTAGTTCGAAACAGTTGCAATATTTATTGTGTCTCTTCGACAACTCGGTTGGTTATGAGTGATACACATTATGACAAATATCATTATTGTTTTATATATTTTTTAGTAAATGTGAAGTAAATAATTTTCAATGTAGAACTGAAATTGACATTAAAAAAAGATAAAAAGAATCACAATTAGATGCTACTTGTAAGTGTCGGCTTGCATGGTGATGTAGATATACAGTAGGATTGCGGGTGGACCATGTGAGAGAGAGAGAGGATTGAGAATCACAATATTATAAAAAAATTCTTCTCTCTCTCTCTCTCTCCTCGCCCTCTTGATTTTCGTTCATATTGTGTTTACATTGTTGCATGGTTGCACTAGCATCGTTTTTTATTTTATTCCATTGGTAGCTTTAAATAGTTTGTTCTGTCTTCAATCTATTGAGTAATTCAGGTCAGCACACACACACACACACCTACACACACGCACACACACATTCTAAAATGACTAATTCAGGTTTTATAGCTGAGCTCATTTAAGAACCATTTTAGAAGGTAATCGTAAACTCTTACAAAGAAGGTCCTCAACCTTTCGTGGTGAAACATGGTTAAAGTATGTTTCGCGGAAGACCTTTAAAAATGTTTCTATAGAGAGCAGTGGGTTCTGGAGAAGAAACGGCTAGTAAACCTTATCATAAAAAGTGGCGACAGTTTCTTTTCGCAACTGGATGTTATCAATTGCATTTTATGATCGCACTGATGGTATGGTAACAAGGAATGATGTTTGTTTACTAACACAGGGTCAGGAATTTAAAGATAATAATCGAATAAACAAGAGCCTTCACCGTTATTCATGTTTTAATTTAAGAAAATGAGTTGCGAGGGGTCATTGTGTCAAAATATCATTGGTTTATAATATAGAAGTGGTTGACTGGAATACTGGATACTTTTACATAGTCAATACAGTTTATTTATCATACTGAGAGAAAGCATGTTATACAAACTGTCATTGATCCGTGATATCCTTTCGATTACCTCTGTATTAACCATCTTAATTGAGTCAATTTGTTTTCTTATATACCTACTGAGTTAGAAGGAGTACTTTGTTGATGAGGTGGCGTGAAATAGAACTAGGCAGTTACGCTTCTTACTAGTTACGGCAGTTCATAAAAATACCTTTGTTATCATGTATATTCAGACTGTTCGGTATTAGAAGAGTAAGTTTTCCACTAGAGTAGACCAATGAAACACATAAATTGACCGTATCAATTTAACACAAAAAAATTCATATTCATTAATTTGAAAATATATCTATCACAATTCATTATTTACACAAATGTGAAAAATGTATATACTAACTATTAAAATGTCAGTACAAATAATTCCATTTTCATTTCTATCTTTTATTGTTTTACAAACTCAAAGCAGGTTTAAAAGAGACAGCATTCGCGCATTCCCTGGCATCTGCTGGCGTCCTATACCAAGTAACCAGATCATGCAGTGCGGGTAAACTCCCATACTGTGGCTGCGATACCCGATTCGTCGGGAGCGGTGAGGGGTTCGAGTGGGGCGGATGCAGTCACGACATCAAGTTCGGCGAGGGCTTCGCCATCGACTTCCTAGATAGCAGTGAGAAGTCTGGACGAGATGCCCAAGCTAGGATGAATCTACATAATAAACGAGCAGGAAGACTGGTATGTATTATCTTAATGAAATGTTTTCTTCATCTCTTCAGTTTCATTACTTTCTACAGCGACTTGTCCCTTAATTTAATCAATTTAATGATATCTAAATTCATATATGGTGCCTTTTTTATTGCCAATGCTCTTACTTTTGATTAGGCATGACTTTGTGATGTTTAATAAAGTTTATTATCAAGTTTACTTTCTTTATTCTTTGTAATGAATAGAGGAATGTATTATCCAACTTCAAAACGTTTTCTACTGACATTCAGAGCACATTAGTGTTAACCATGGCTTCAAGAAATCAAAATAAACAAAATAAAGTCCAAGTAAGAACATCTCATACTGTGCTTATCATATCGATATTCGTGGGAAAGAGATGGTTATATTAATAATTGTGATAACATTGGCCAAGGTTTGACCACACATAATGGGAAGATATTGGTCTGGGGTGTATAAATTGTCTGCCCATTATGTTTAGCTTATCCATGTCGTGTGAAAAGATATGTTCAAATTATTATTGTGACAAACTTGATGAAAAGAAAACAATTAATATAATCTAGAACAATATTTTACTTTTCTAATATTTTTTTTCTTCACATGATTGGCCAACACCTCTAGGCTAAAAGTGGTCAAGCGCTGATGTACGGTGGCGCTGTGCTGTCTGTGCACAAACCACTATTCGCAGCGGGGGAAATTCCTCGCGCTGCAGCCGTTACTGCCCGAGGGACAAAAATTAGGAAATTTACGCGTTTTAACATTGATTGATAAGGGTAAACCTCGTCTCATTTCATATCGATAATGATAAATAGGAATAAATATGGTTGTAGAATATCATCGGAAGTCTTCAATAGATTAACCTAAATCAAAATATGGGCCTACAATTTTAATAGGAAGACAAAAACGAGGTACTTTAAATGATAAGAAAGATATCTAATTTAATTTAATTTCAATATAATATAACAATCCTGAACAACGAAAATAATGACATGAAAAGTTTATAACGAATATAAAAGGAACTTGAACATAATATAGCCCCAATAAATAGGGGTCAGGATGGCGTGGGTTTCTTTCATTTTAACCATGTTTAGCATAGGAACCAAGGAGTATTCCTTCACACACTGAAAAGAAGGAAAAACAACCTAAACAAAATTATATTAAGTATTTAGTCATAAGATTAATTCGTAGAACATAAGAACTGATTTTGAACTAAAAATAATGGCGTGTTATACATCGACAACTTTAAGCGGTTTGCATTCAATCAGGGTAAACCACACTTGTTAGCACAGAATGACAATTATCAGAAACGAAAATTGACTGGAAGTGGAAACTGATACCGTGACTGGTTCCGGAAACCACGGTTGACCCAATCAGGTCAAGTCTGTCTGTCTATCTCTCCCCGTTCATCTTTTTTCGCTACATCTCTACCATGTAATGACGCTTTTGCGCGCTCTCTCTCTCTCTCTCTCTCTCTCTCACTGTCTTTCTCCGTCTCTTTCTCTCCGCTCTTCCAATATCTAAAGTCATCCAATTTGACTTCATTAAAAACTTTTAGATCATCTTTCATGTTAATAATAGAGCGGATTTAAAGATTGTTTTAATATCTTAATAAGGTCCATATAGGTTGATTTAGTCGATCACTTTTTTGGGGTCAAATATATCATTCATTTTCAAACATCTCCAGATAAGAATAAGATATGTTAATTACACGATAAACTTGTGTACATCCTATTCTTGAAATAAAGTATCAGGTACAAATCAAAGTGTTGGTTATATACACAAGCATGCGCCTATAAGGATAGGTGCGTGGTATGGAAGTGTGCGTGAGTGCGTGGGTGCGTGGGTGCGTGATGCTACATGCGTGCGTACGTAATGTATTTATGTTGTTTCTGTGCAGGGTCTTTCCGCAAAAAGCATTTAAATCAAAATTTGGGTATTCCTCTGCACTACACAACCATGATTTAATGATGGTTCAATAATGTAACTGTCCTGTTAGCCTATAGCTTGTATAATAATCTAGATTTAGTTTTACATTTGGCCTTATAATAGGCCTACCCTGTACGTCAACATATAAAGTGAACTCTATAAATCGCTTCACCTTTTTGCCCAAGATGACCTTTTCTTTGATGAGTTAGAGATAGTTTCATCTCACTGAATCTTCATCCATCTATAATCTGTTTACATCCATCATTACATTGAACATGTCACACTGAGATCATGGTGAGCGCTGTTTAGTTTGAAAGAGGCCGCCTCCGTGGTAGTCAGTCGCGTTATCGCGCTAGGAAGTCTGTCCATTCCCGGCTCAAGACATTAAAGGAAAAGTTGGGTAATATCTATCGAGATAACCAAAAAAAACTTAGATAGATTATGATACAAGGTGTATATGGCATGAGATATTTCGAACAACTTCTGATTTTCAGCCATCGAAGGATAACACGTTGTAGCCATATTCATTTCAGAACAGAAAGCTGCCCGATCATGCATGTTTCTTCTTCACTTAACATTGCTTGATAATTCTAACGATAAACACAACGTGGGCTTCGTAAATTTCATGACAACCAGAATTTCTCGTTCTCGAATAGTCCGACTGACATTATACATTGTGCCATGACACCGTATAGGGAACGGCTAGGAGACTAACAATCAAGAGTACGTATCCATCATGTGTAGAAGTCTTGAAGAGAACAGGGAATCTTTCTTGAAAGTTGAAAAGCAGCGGGAGAAAGTATTTTGTGGGTTTTTGGAGCGAGACATCAGCGGGGTAAAGAGGGCGAAAACTATTAACTGAGACCCCTGGATGCCAAAGCACTGGGTTAGAGAGAAAAAAGAAACACTTACAAACTTGACAGTTGCTTGACTCCCTGTGGCGCCCTCTCCTTGTATTTGACTTACTAGAGATGGGAACGGGGGCGGGTGGTAGAAAGAGATAGGCCCGTGAAGGGGTAGCAGGAGATAGATGTAAGTAAGTTTCGGAATAGGACAAAAGATAATGGGATGATAGACAGAAGGGTGGTACTATTATGATAGCTTATGTGGGTGTGCGCGTGTGTATAGCATAGGTGTGGAGAGGACACAGAGGGGACAGATGGGAACGTAGAAGAAGGGAGAGATTTGGAGAGGGGCAGGATGAGATAAACGGTGAAAGTGAAGGAGATGTGCGTGGGTGTGCGTTTGTGTGTTATGTGGGAAAAGAGAGAAACGGGATTAATGGATGAGACATAAAGGAGGAAAAAAACAAAGAAAGATATAGGGAGAAGGCAAATAGAAAGAGAGAAGGAAGAGAGAGAGAGAGAGAGAGAAATAGAGGGTGAGATGCTTTCATGTTTCATGATGATTCCGGAGCGACAGCCGGTTCAGATGAGGTTTAGAAAAGGATGGCGATGTTATTAATCATAGCAATAAAAGCTATGACGTTATGTGGGACCAGTACTGCGAAAAGGTGAAGAGGAAAGCAGATGCAGACATAATAGAGGCTTGCACCATCTTAATGATGACTGACTTCAGAAGTTTGATTCATCATCAATTCTCTTGAAAGCTTAACACAGATAGCTACGCATCGATGCCTGATTTAGCTCATGTACGCTTACAATGAAATACATTTTATCAATAACATGATGGATACTATTGCAAGCTTACATTAAAAAACATTTTAGTGAATGCATAGCATGCAGAGCATAGTTTGGTTTCAGTTTTACCAGTGCCATTGATTTGGCTGACCAGGTTCGAGTCAATGATAATATTACTACTACTACTACTACTACTACTACTACTACTACCACTACTTCTACTACTACTACTACTACTTCTACGACTACTACTAATTCTACTACTACTACTACTACTACTGCTACTACTACTACGACTATTACTACTACTACTTCTACTATACTTCTACTACTAATGAAAAATAATTGTTGCTTATTAAGCGCTTTTACCGTATTACTAAATAGAGCGCTGATAAAACCCAAACGAAAATATGCATTTGGAACAATAACATATATACATATACACTTAGGAGTTGGGCACTTTGTGGCGAATACCGTTTTGTTGGGCAAGCACAAAACAAGAAACAAAAATGTACGACACGTTGTGCCCAACTCGAACCGGGTTGGCCAAACTTTCCTAATCAATGGGTCTTATTTTTGTTACAGTGCCATCTGCATTTCAGACTTGTGTCACGTATTGCCCCTGTTGAAAGAAGTGTAGATTACCATATTTTGCTTTGCTACACTATGTTTGTAGGCGACAACTAATGGTGTCTGTATCATAAATCTCAATAAAACTGTAATATAGGATTCGTTAAGAGGATTTCGAAGCCTTATTTGTTAGAAGAAGTTTGATTCTGTTTTTATATACCGAATTTCGTGCATAAAATTCAACCAATCATTAATTATGATATCAATTTTTTTTTTCTTTACTGTGCAGGCGGTGTCACACTACGCCGAAAAGAGGTGTAAATGTCATGGCATGTCGGGAAGCTGTCAGCTCAAGACATGCTGGATGCAGACTCCTCACTTCAGGGAGGTTGGAAACCGTCTCATGGAGAAGTTTTCATTGGCCCTTGAGATTCGCGCGCGAAATACGAATAGTGGAAGCGTGGAGCTGGTAACAAGGGCAAGGTCGCAGTTCTCCACCCCTCGTAAGAAGCGTCGATTCCCACCTCAAGAGGAGCTGGTATTCTTGGAGAAATCGCCCGATTTCTGCGATGCTGACACCAGGTTGGATAGCCCTGGCACGAGAGAACGCTATTGTAATCGTACAAGTACAGGCATTGACGGGTGTGATAGCTTGTGCTGTGGGAGAGGCTACAATATTCGATTGGAGAGAAGGACAGAGTGGTGTAATTGCACGTTTCATTGGTGTTGCTATGTGCGCTGCCAGCAGTGCCATAGCTCGCAATGGGTTAACCAGTGCAAATAGATGACGTCATAATGATTGCTATGTGAAATGGACACGACTGTAAATGCTCAGTGTGGTTTACGTAGCAGACGAAATGAGAAAACTATATGCGAATGTGTAACATTTAAACTGCATTTACTAGAGGTTGACACGAACTCTTCGGATGATCACACACATTGCCTTGAGGCTTGATGTTTCGCTTCTTGTATCTTGTAGATTACTCTCAAGAAAGCGGTATATCAGATTTTTAGCATATTGCGTATAATTAAGTAAGATTTTGAATCAGCTTATGAGTGATTTGATTCGATTTCTGCTTGTCTGAGAACAATCACATTAATATGTAGTTGTCAGAACACAGCTTTATTCATCGTAATTCATACAATGTGATATAGTATAAGACAAGTTCGCTGCCAGCTGCTACGATCTTGTTATGACGTCATGACTTAACTTATTGGCGATATCCTTCCGATGCATTACATTATACAATTTGACTGCTTAGCTGATTATGTAGATATTTGAATTCTAATTTTGTTTTATGTACATTTGAAATCATATTTATAATGGCATTCTGGATGGCAAATCATCAATATTTGAGACCTGGAAAAGTGCAAGTACATGTATATTATGTACTTGAATTGATTAGGTTGGAATGTATTTTATTGGGTGAACAGAAAATTGTGTAAATATTTCAGTAAAATAATTATGTTTAGATAACGATTAAACAAGTAATCAATTTTTTACTTCTGTTCAAAATATTGTAACAATGGTATTGCACAATGTGCCTTCCTTAATGAATGATTGCTAACCCCAAAATACAAACCTTATTTCGAAATTCTTTAATGCTAGTGATAAAGCATTTTTTAAAATGTATAATTCATGACAAAAACTTAAGGTATTGTTTTGTAAGCGAATTACAAAATAAAGCTTTGCTGATTTGGATTTTTGATATTTGTATTTGTTTTGGAATTCCCTACAATGTCCGTGATATACATGTACATGTACATATCAACGATACTAATACGGACTGCAGGAGATACTACTCTGTATCTTTGATGTTTTAAGAAGTGACTCGAGGAAAATACGATGGCTCTCTTTTTCAGACATTACAATAAAACAAAGTCAAGAGTACCAGCTTACATCTCCAAAAGAACCTTCAAACCTTTCTAATGAAAAGACACATATTATTTGTATTTATTACATGCCATATTTTGTGCATTCGATACTATAATGGAGATTAGTGATTTACCGAATTATTATTTTCATTTATTTTGATAATAATAAATCTAAAACAACTGCTAGTAGATTGTAATATCCGCGAATTAAAAAAATGATTTGAATGGAAATTGAAAATTGAAAATAGATGTTGAAAGATCAGCCCCAAATGTGATGGGAAGCAAAATTACAGGGATGGTAACGATAGCATGGCATTTCTTGCAAATAATTATTATGTGGTAAAATTAATGTGTATCTTAAATGTTGCTCGTCCCGAGGTAAGAATACATTTATATTCTTCCTATCAAATATGAGCAATTAGTTAACCATCTCGAAATGCTGCTCATTTTGATAAAATAAAAAAAAATAGTTTCTAGGGTATTACATTACATTACATTCTAAAACCTAATTAATCAACAATTTAAAACTTTAATATTTTATAATTATGGAAAAATGTTCACGAGTATCTTTAAATGTTATACAATTTAGTACCAATCAGGGACACTGATCCAGAAGGGCGGGGTAATAACAAGATAATAATAACGATTATGGCAATTATGCTGAATAACCTCATTTAGAAAAAATTAATAGAAGGAGAAAATAGGGCAATTAAGATCAACATGTTAAAGTACAAAGCAATCTAACATACAACGTGATTTGTTATTACGGAAACGGGACCCAGAAAAACCGGACTCGCTTAGACTGGGTGCGACGAAAGATCAAAGTCACCCTCTCAACACCCAGTATTCTTTCAACCTTTCTGGAATTCGACTAAACGTCCCACGTACAAACCGAGCACGCTTCCGCCAATCCTTCGTACCAAACTATTCACAAGTTCAACCAATTCGTTAAGAGCTGATAATAAACGATAGCATTTCAGTTACCCATTATTGTTAGTATACATATTGTATGTATGATTTTAATACTATTGTTAGTATACATACATGTATTGTATGTATGATTTCAATACGACCACAATGATATAACTGTAGTTATTTATCCACTTTGACGAACAATGATGGCGTTGATAATAATAATAACAATAGCAATAATGATCATAATTATTTGAATTTATAAACTGTTCTCATAAAGCTTAAAACGTCAACGATGATTATACTGAATAGCCCGTTAAAAGCAGTGGAGAGATATTTTTAATCATCTAATCAGAAAGGAAGTTTAACAATTTTGGATGGCGTAAAAATTATTTCTTTGAAATGACGAGAGATATTTTTCAGTTCTGAAATTGTTTGCTTAATTGTTTTGCATGTTTCATATTATAGTACTCTGTTTCTTGTATTATTGTAATGCTGGTGGGAAGCATATTTCCACATTGTGGACGAATAAACCAATCTCAATATCAAATACTTTTCCAAATACCCATGTAAACAAACGTGCTTCAAATGCACATTTCCTGATAACGAATGCAAATTATTTTGCTCAACCTCGCAAAAAAATAATATGACAACGGCCCACAACCCCCTCTTCGCCAAAATGATCGCTAAGCTTTCTCTCACCCCCTCCCCCGGTCACGAGAAAAAAATATCTGGTTGGTTTTGAAAATGCCAGCAATGGTTGCTCACATGTTTGAGAATGATATCTCTCTTCTGGTAAATGCAGGTTTGATATGAAATTGTGTGATTATATAAGCTTTAAGTATCTATATCCCCCCCAAAAATTAGTAATTGATATTAATGTGAAAAAACATAAATCATGTCATGCTTTCCTTTTTAAAACGACTTCCTGATACTTGTGTGTATTTTCATTAAATAAATTGTATGTTTGCTTTGTTTCGAATGGAAAATAAACGAGAAAAAATAGCATAGATATGGAGTTATTATATAATAACATTAAAATAAAAGCATCATTTGCCCGTTACACCTCTCTCTCTCTCTCCATGTCATTGTGTGTGTGTGTGTGTGTTTGCGTGTGCGTGTGTGTGTGTGTGTGTGTGTGTGGGTGCAGTCTCTCTCTCTCTCTATCCTTCCCTCCCTTTCTATCCCTGTATCTATCTAATATCAATTTATATACGTTTTGATATTATAATTCGATCCATTACGTTATGCCCAAACGAGATGTCCATTAGCTCGCATCTCGTCGATATGACCTTCCTAACGTACACGATATTCCATCCGTAATAAAAGAATATAGGCAATTGATTGGTCTATTGCGCATCATATAATTAAATACATGCCATACGGATCTCATGCAAATAGGGGAATCGCCATCAAGGGTACACGTCTGCGTTACGATCCGTGTAAAGTAAGTATAGAACCTTATCTATAGTTTGAGTTTAAAGTGGTTTAAAGTAGTAAATGAGATAAATAAATAGAGAGCGAGATAGAGAGAGATAGAAAGAGAGAGAGAGAGAGACAGAGAGAGAGAGAGGGAGGGAGATAGAGGGAGAGAGAGAGAAAGAGAGAGAGAATAACGGGGTCCAGACAACTCGCCACAAAGACAGCTCAACCCTGGATAACTCGACACAATACCCTGGACATCTTGCCACAATACCCTGGATAACTCGCCATGGTCGAGTTGTCCAGGGTGGGGTGCCTTTTCAGACAGCTCGCCACACTTTTTTCCCCTCACGATTTCTAGATCTAAAATCCCTCATCTTAGATGAAATTTTTTTTTTTTTCATGATACATTATGCTTTTGGTTTGGACAGGGTGTGCCGCTCAAGCCTCAAAACCCCTACCCATAATTAGTGGTCATGACAATTTCCTATAAGATGAGGGATTTTAGATCTAGATATCATGAGCGTGCGAGCTGTCCAAAAAGGCATCCACCCTGGACAACTCGACCATGGCCAGTTGTCCAGGTTATTGTGGCGAGATGTCGAGTTGTCCAGGGGCCAGCTGTTTTGGGACGAGTTGTCTGGGATTCAGAATAACAAACATACAAAATATTGAAGGTATAACAGGGCAGTGGCGTACCTGGGGTACTCCGTCAGGGGGGGGGGGGGCAAGCGACCGAAACAAACAAAAAAGGCGATGCTAATTTTCACTTCTGGCGAGCGAGCGAGCAAAAAAAAAATCTTTAAGTAACGTTTTGTATATAAACTGGAATTGTTGCAAGTTGGGGGTGGGAACATTCACTTGTTAGCGACGTTAATTTCATTTTTTTGTGAAGTGAAAACATTTAATACAAAATAGGCTAGCAAGCAGTTCGCGCCAGCGAAGAGTTTCAAATTTGTTATATCACTTATATTTTCCTATTTTCATTTGTTTTAATTTTTCAGGGCCGTATGCGGAATATTTTTCTGGTGGGGGAGGGGGAAAGATGCGTTAAAAGTTTTCGAAGAATCTCAAAAGCAAAAGGAGTGAAGGGAGTTCGAGCGACCGAACTGGTCATGAGGGTACTTTTGCATTTTCAAAAGTAGAATTGAAGGATTTGGTATAGGCCTACACTACATTTTCAGGAGAAAAAAAATTACGTTTTCAAAATATCTGGGGTCAACTGCCCCCCCCCCCCTGGTGCGTACGGCCATGGTCTTTTAAAAAAAAAAATTCCCCATTTTTATTCCTTTCCTTTTCCCTTTTTCTTCCTTTTCTCTTCTACTTCCTTTTTTCTTTCCTTTTTTTTCTTCCTTTTTTCTCTTTCTTTCCTTTTTTCTTCCCTTTTTTCTTCCCTTTTCCTTTTTTCTTTTTCTTTCCTTTTCCTTTCTTTTCTTTTCTTTCCCCTTTTTCTTTTTTTCCCCCTGGAGCCCGTCAGGGGGGGGGGGCACTCTGCCCCCTGCCCCCCCCCATAGGTATGCCAGTGTAACAGGGGAAAGAAAAGAAATGGGAGAGAAAGAGAGAAGAAGAGACGCGAACTTTCAAAGTTTGCCCTTAATGAGAATTTTTCTATTATTGGAGACACACTTCATTAATTCCGTATTGAATTGTATTTTTGACATGGATCAGTCATTTCCTGTTATACAGTAGCGATGGAGTACAAAGGTCAACTTAGAAAAAACAGGACTGAAAGAATAAACGAACTAGAACTAGAAAACATCGTAGTAGTCCTTCACATTAGAATGTATGTCATTCTGTAAATAGAGATCATTCAGAATGGGTGCCTCTAGCAGTAGCAATGCCTTGATGGACAAGACGGTTGTGGTGATTGGAGGTAGCTATGGCGGTAATGCAGCAGCTATACATCTTAAAGGAAAGTGCAAACTCATCGTCATCGACGCCAAGGAAGCTATGTTTCTGTCTGTATCCTCGCCTAGAGCCGTGGTTGAACCAGGTTTGTGTATTATTGTAAATATCTAAACCCTAGTATAATCTATACGCCGTATAATCTTTTTCTAGGGTCTAAAGTCTAACCATATAGGTCTATCAATGTTATCATGGTAAGTGGGAAATTCATAATTCTCTCACGGCGGAGGGGGAAGGGGGGGGGGGGGGGCTAGGATGTCAAAAAAATTCTGACAAGCAACAACAACAATAACAACAACGACCACCACCGCTATAACAACCATAATGACCTTAATAACAATGTTTCACAAACGTTTTCAAAATGGTCGGGTTTGTCTACTTTTATTACATGTATGATTTAGTTGGCCTGTATTTTCAGGTTTGGTTTGGTGAGGGGGTGGGGGGGAGTGGGAGGTGGGGGAGGGGGGGTAATGGTGATATACTACAATGATGATAATTATTTCTACATGTTTGATTGTTTTCTCCAGTATCCTGCTTATGGCGACATGACAATAAAAATGCATAGTCATTGTCATTGTCATTGTCACACACTGCACTGTATGTATGTATGTTTGCCAAACTCTGTGTAACCATGGACCTACTGGTACAACACATCTATCATTGCGCCATCTATCATCATTCTGGGGCTTAGTCGGGAGCGAAAGAAGAAGAACATGAACAATACATGTCGGATATCTATAAAGATTATCGAAATTTTAAGTTTAGACTCGCAGAAATATTGGATGGAATATGAATGGTACCGCATAACTTGCCTCATTTTTGTCTTTACATTAGTTTGAGTGTGTTTCCTAATATAGAAAATGTTCAGAAAATTAAAAGATAGAGAGAGAGAGAGAGAGAGAGAGAGAGAGGGAGAAAGGAAAACATTGAGGCGAATGGTTATCACTGTTTGTATTCGTCATATTGAATAGATCTTTTGTCATATCCCTAAATTGTTAAATTGTATATATAATTTACAGATATGCCTTACTTGGCATCGTTTCATTATTCTGATTTAAAAAAAAAGTTTAATTAAAAAAAAACGCCGTCATGTCTGATTTGACTATCAGACTCTGATCGAATCAATTACTACCGGTAGTAAATTGGTTACTAGGGTTCAACGTTGCGTTAAAGGAAACCTCACCCCAAAGAATAAGTGAAGGTATGCTGAGCTATACCTTTTATTCATGTCTATGGGTCTACAGCATTCTTTACGAAATGAAGATATTCTTGGCATGATGTCTTGTCTTCTATTATGTCATGGGCGCGGCCATTTACTAGATAATAATGATGTAGTCAGGCGGAATTGCACATTTACCATCCACCAAAGTTGTAGTTGTAGAGACATTTTAATTCAATAATATAACTTATACTTTTCTATGAGGGAAAATCATAACTGAGAAGGTGAAATAAATATTTGGTTAAAAAGTACATATAGGGTAAAAATTATAACAAATTCGTTAAAAAATACTGGAATATAGCAGTTGCAAAATTATTTGATTTATGCGAAACCTTCACCACAGTAAAGCAACATCTTAATTATGCAAATTGCGTTCTGACAATTTATTGTAGTGTAAAATATAAAAGCAGATGGATAAAATATTTCATCACCAAACACAGATGAGAAGGAAGCATCCATAAATGTGCATACATTCAGTCGATAACCGACTTCCCATAGTACGTCACGTTATAAAGAAAATGGAGATGCCCATGTCGTGCTGAGAAACTTTACATTGCGCTACAACTATTTTGCTTTACAGCTCTCTTATAAACATTGATGATAAATGAGCAAGAATACAGTAAATCTCTCAGAATACCTAAGGTTATTTCTTGGTATAAGGTTTCCTTTAAATCCAGGGGATATCATAGAACCGTTGTAAAGAAACACAAAGAGGATAACAAAGCTCTTGGAAAGTAAAGGGAAATGAAGGAGGAAGTGTTGTAAAGAATCAGCTGTTTTAACCAAACGAATGAATATAAGGCACAACCTTTTGGGTATATCTTCTGAGTATTTAATAGGTTTATCCACTTTTCTCCATGAAGTTTATACAATCCTAGGAGTATATAGAAAATATGAAATCCGGTGACGGAGGAGATACTTCAAAAGCAATCAAATTAATTTAAATTGAAAGAAGAACAACTTATTCACCCTACAATCCAAGCAGAAGACTTTATTATATTAAATTGTGCAACATCCAAAAAAAAATCATGGCACAGTACTTTTCATTAACTAGAAGGATTGCGATATTTAAATTCAATAAACCATCACCATGGATACTTCATATAAATTGTCCTATTTATTTGTTATTTTTAGACACATATGAAAAGATGCTATTAAAATTACAAGCATACATCTTGCGTCAGCGTTTATTAAAGATAGATCCTTGGATATTTGACACCGACAGAAGAGAGTAAAGAATGACATCGTATAGAAAGTAAGAGAGGTAAAGCTGTATTATCATACTCGTATTGGTAGAACAGCCACGAAGTCAGAACGGCAATTGTGTAAAAATATTTTATACAATGCTTATCCATTTTGTTCACCCTTAGAATTACATGTGCAATATCAAACATTATATATGTGGCTTTCTTTGTACTCTTATAAACCGAGAGGTGCTCGATATAGTCGATAAATATTATCTTATCTTGTTTTGTCTGGGCATTTAAAAAAAAATAGTTGAGACTGATTTGCAGTGATCGAACTTTAACTTGAGGTTCATAGTATGGGTCCTGTTGAAAGCCGCAAAGAGCAGCCAAGAGAATGTTTGAACTTTAGGTCATAATTCAGGGCCGCCCTGGCATCCAATGTTTAAAAAAGACGGAAAACGGAGTTTTAGGTTGGGAAGGGAGGGGGGGGGGGGGGGGGGGTGGTAGGGGGAGGGATCCTTCTCCCTGTGACAGTTATTTTTGTTGTCTTAATAATGATAATAACTATAGTTTGATGTCGATAATTGTTTTATCTGACTGCTAATTATTATAATATTAATACGTTTTCCTGATGCCCTACACGAATCACGACAATAGTGAGTTTATGTTTTTACCAGCTAGACGATTTGTTTCCCCAAAGATTATTCGTAAAGATAAACTTGAGCTCTGGTATATATAGAAAATAAATTCTCACAGAATCCAACGAAACTAACACTGAATTTCCAAGATTAAAAATAAATGTGCCAAACAAATTTGGTCGAAAATGAATAGTGGCTGAGTAATAAGCATAGAAAGAAAAAGAAATCCGGGTACTGAAGTAGGCCCGACACATTGGGAGTTTTTTTTAAAAAAATTATTGAAGATGATGCCCAGTAAGTTTTTGTGCTTTTGTTTTTATTTCACTTGTTCAAACAACCAATCTACTGCAGGATAAACAATCCAGAATAACTCATAGCAATTTTCTCTCAAAATACGATTCCCAAACCAGAGCTCAAGATTAGCTTTAACCTTCATGCGAACTAATTTCTTTCTGTGATGTTTCTTTTATTTGTAGAGTTTACGAATAAAATTCTTGTTCCTTTGACGGACGTCCATGGCGAGTCGTTCAGAAGAGGAAAAGTTGTCCAGATCGATCCACCAGAGAAGACAGTGAGTCTTGAAGACGGCAGTACGATCTCTTATGATTACCTGGTGATAGCTACAGGGAGTAGCAACCCATTCCCAGGCAAGATCACCAACGATACGTCCATCCAAGAATGCCACGCCCTCTACAAAGAGGCCTCTGAGAAGGTAGGTTGTAGTATTGTTATGTGTTGTCGTATGCATTTTGTAAAAAAAAAAATGACAATTAACATGATCGCAACTACTTTTGAAAAAACAACCCAAGGCAATAGACCATTTTCGTAATGTAACCAAATTTAATGCACAAGTCTTTGTGAAGTGCCTCAATACAAATTATTTCATTCACCTGATAAGAATAATAGTAATTCAATAGTCAGAATGCAAACTGCATATATCAAGTGTTGCTAGGTAGGTCAAGCCATAATGTTTGTCCGACCTGGCAACGATTAATGTATGCAGTTTGGATTATGTCTATTGAAATACTATTATTCTTACCAGGTGAATGAAATAATTTGTATTAAGGCACTCCACAAAGACTTATGCATTAAATTTGGTTACATTACGAAAATGGCCTATTACAATGTTCTTGTACCTTACTTATTGTGCGAACAATAAAACATTCAATACCTGTTGTACATATATTACGTAACCCGAACATGATTTTTATGGGACAAACAATGGTGTACTAATATTTAAATTAGGCGTTAGTTGATTTTTTGAAAGTAGTAACAATCGTGTATTCAGCCTACACTGTGAAAAGGTTGGGCAATGTTTTTCCAACACTTTGCCCAACGTTGTGCCAATAGTCAACCCAACCATCTATTGAGCAATAGTTTGCCCAGTGGTAGTAGTAAAAGTAAGTACCCTACTTCACACGTGCATAATTGTTTCGTATTTTGTACAAATTGTGGGCAAAGATATGACCTTTCAACTGCCCGACTACGGTAGCCCACTGGTTGGGAAAATCTTGACCTGCTTTGGGGCAAAGTACGAAACATTTATGCACGTACTTGCGTTTACCAATACCACTGGGCAAATATTGCCTAATCGATGGTTGGGTTGAATATTGGCACAACGCTGGGCAAAGTGTTGGAAAATATTGCCTAACCTTTATACAGCGTATATATGGCTGCGAGACAGATTTACAATAAGTGTACCATTATATAAAATTACTGTCAGGCAACTACGTTGTATTCCAATTGCGATTTAATGGGGGGGGGGGGGGGTAGGAAACTTGTTCATTAATTACGGTGTGATACTATTCCCGAAATAAACTCGCCACAAGGTTATTAAACCCAAGTTCATTTGATGATGAATATCTTTACTGTTTTATCATTCTATAATTATTTGTATAATTTAAAACCCTGCATTATATTATATCCATTGCCATATTTTGACATGACTGATTGTGGTGTGTTGGGTGGGTACTGAAACCAAGAGAAATCTTGCAAAATATGTTATTATTGTCTTGATTTGTGACCAACATTATGCACGCAAATAAGGATTTGCAGGAATGGTTGTGAAAACCTGTGATCTTGTCATTATCTCAGAACTCTATTCGATCTGTCTTTGAATTCGATTTGATTTCTGAGGATTTTGTACGAAGAGAATTGCACTCTATTCAGATTAATAAGGCAACTGGCCTAGAAGGGCTTAGTGCACGTCTCCTGAAGTTGGCCACACCCGCTATTTGTACACCTATTACTCACCTGTTTAATCTTTCTCTGCAAACCAGCCAAATTCCAGCTGACTGGAAGCAGGCACGAGTTACCCCAATTCACAAGGGTGAGGATAGGGACGATGTTAGCAACTATCGTCCCATATCTGTTATACCGTCGATTATGAAAATATTAGAAAAGGCAGTTAACGTGCAACTTCGAGACTATCTGTCAGATAATAATCTCCTAACCCCCCACCAATCTGGAATAAGGAAAGGTTATTCAACCAACACCGTACTTGCATTTTTTAGCAATTATTTGTTGACTAACATGGATAAAGGTAGAATAACTGGAATAGTCTTTCTTGACATACGAAAGGCATTCGACTCTGTTAATCATAGATTATTACTAGATAAGTTAAAACTGTATGGCATTACGGGACAAGCATTGTCATGGTTCGAATCATATCTTGTACACCGGGCACAATGTACCTCCTTGCTAGGTAAAAAATCTGACGTGCTAAAGTTAAAGTCTGGAGTCCCCCAGGGATCCATATTGGGGCCCCTCCTTTTCACTCTTTTCATGAACGATCTTCCATCAGTCATCGAGCACGGTAAAGTGATTATGTAGGCAGTTGACACTGCCCTTATGTACAGTTCTTCAAATCCAAGGGAAATCGACACATGTCTTAATCATGATTTGGATTGTGTGAAAAAGTGGTTGGAAAGAAACCAACTTACCCTGAATACGGACAAGACATGCTTCATGATTTTTGGAACACCGCAGAAATTGCTAAACTTGCAATACACATCAATCGCAATAAAAGTTTCTAATGTACCAATCACGCAAGTTCAAAGTGTAAAATATCTGGGAGTTTGTCTAGACCAGCACATGGCGTGGCAGGATCATGTGAAATACACTTCAAATAAAATTGTATCTAGGTTGGCCCTACTTCGTAGAGTCAGGAAATATCTCACAATTGATAGTGCCAAACTACTTGCCAATTCTCTTATCCTTCCTTACTATGACTATTGTAGTGTCTCATGGAGTACTTGTAATAAAAGAACAAAAGATATCTTGATTAAGCAACACAAGCAGATGGCAAGAATTATCCTGAAAATAAATACTTTGATTCCCACATCCGAAATGTTTACTACCCTAAGATGGATTGACATGGAAAAAAGATGAGAGTTCAATAAAAGTAAATTAATGTATGATGTGATGAATAATAGTGCCCCATCATATTTATATGATATGTTCACCCTGTCCGCCCATACTCATAGATACTCAACAAGGAATGCTGACAATTTGGGCGTCATTATTCCAAGAATTAAAACAGAATGTGGAAAACGTGCCTTCTCAGTTGATGGTGCTCTTCAGTGGAATAGCCTACCCCACTCAGTTCGAAATGCCCCGACCAAGAATACTTTTTGTTCTCTCTATTTTAAGCAGCGATGTTAAAGATGAATTTGCCTTTCTTTAATTATTTCTTTCATGAATATTTACATAAATTTCTCTATAAAATAATTTGTTCAAATCTAAACAGATCATTGATAATAATCAGAGTATATTTTTATCGATTTAAAATTGCTCATTGAAATTTATCATTCTTACTACGGCTTTGTTTCATTATTCACTCTTATTCTTTACTCTTTTTTTCTATTATATGTTACTATGTATTGATGTCTCCGTGGTGCCAGGTAAAAATGTCAGAGGTAAAAATGTCAGAGGAAAAAATGTCAGAGGAAAAAATGTCAGAGGTAGAAATGTCAAAGGTAAAAATGTCAGAGGTAAAATTGTCAGAGGTAAAATTGTCAGAGGTAAAAATGTCAGAGGTAAAAATGTCAGAGGTAAAAATGTCAGAGGTAAAAATGTCAGAGGTAAAAATGTCAGTCGTAAAAATGTCAGAGGTAAAAATGTCAGTCGTAAAAATGTCAGAGGACAAAATGTCAGTCGTAAAAATGTCAGAGGTACAAGCAAAAAAATTAGCAAAGTATTTCGTACATGTCCTGAGGATAATACAATGTGGAAAATAGATTTTGAAATTTATTTTGTTGTGATCAGGCTTGCATATAATGAATGTCTAACATTTTTTGATATTTTGATTTGGTTGATGTGTTAATGTTTGTGAAACGGACCGGTTTGGCCGGTGGCAGCCTGCAACATAGCCCGTGTAACGTTCCAGAGACGAACAAAGTCCAAACGAAGAAATGAAAATTCTCGACAAAAGTCAAGTGTTAAAGTGAGTAGTGCATTTAGTACAAAATAGTTACATAATCCCGAGGAATCACGAAAAGTTACATATAAGGGCTGGGCGCCCGAACACTGCTAAAGCTTTAGCACCTCATGGCGGCAAAGGAAGTAGAGTAAGAATAAGAAAATCAAGAAGTCGCTCCGAAAAGTAAAAAGTCGCTCCGAAAACTAAAAACCCGCTCCAAAAAGTAAAAGACTGTCTCGATTCAGAAGCTCATCCCCATTTTAAACTCTCCGACAATTATAAATAACGATGTCATTTAAACCGAACCTCTGCAAAGCGCGCACTTCTCTAAAATGTGATGGTGCGGTTGGCATTTAAAGATAAAGTTGAGTTCTGGTCTTGCGATTGCATTGTGAAAGAAACGGTGTGGAAGCAATCAAGAAAGGTTGATCATCTAGCATAAACATGTTATTAATGGTGTGTAGTGCAAGGTTTTGGAGTCATCAAAATGATAAAATCTTTGGCCCAGTCTTGGTAAAGTAACAAGCACTGTACACAGAAAGATATTGATATGGGACTACACAAACATATGGCATACAAATCGGGCCTCATTTTAAAGCTGTTACTTGTCATATCTGGGATATGAAGTCATTTGAAATAGATTTTCAAGGAATAACTTTTTTCTTTGATGTTCTTCCACACTTGCATAATAAGAATGATAACAAACGCTCACATATTATTGTTCACCTTTCCCCAGAACTCAACCTTCTCTTTAATTGATGTAACGTGGGCGGCTTTCTGCTTTGTATCGGAGTAACAAAGCTGCTTATTGATTTTTCCCAGACTATTTTATACCGCAATAGTAATCGACAATATGTTATTGCAACGTGCGCACTTCGGGAATGTGATGGTGCGGTTAGCACTGATAACATGGCTTTCTGCTTTGTTTCAGCATGGACCCTACTTTCAGAGTATCAAAATACCAAGCCCACAAGAAAGTGGAATTGTCGGAAATATGCATTTATTGGAAATTACATATAATAGTAGTCATTGCCACGCAGTTGAAATGTCCAACAATCTTCAAAAGTGAAGGAGAAGTGTGTGTGTGGGGGGGGGGGGGGGGGGGGAGGTTCATAGATATCTGATCCTATTTTGTGGGCTGTACTGACTTTTCTTTTATTTAATGATTACACCATGGAGCGATAACTCAGCCTATAAAACATGGCCAAACTTCTCGATTTTAGAAATCTTTCCCCCCAGAAGTTTGCTCAGTGTACCAGTACCATTTGCTTATACAAAAGCATAATATACCGGTAAATAAATATTTAATAAGGCAGACTAATGGGACATGCATGGTTGCTACTCCGAGTTTCATGCCTTGCAAGCGATCATCAGACAATTGATAGCATTCGTCAAAGTACATGATTCCTCTACAACCTTGGTACAAATACGCTCAAAATAAGAGCTATACAATACATGTATATCCGTCCTCCATTTATTACCACAATTACTTTACTGGGGCCTACAGCCTTACAAGCTTGCTTTCATGTAGGTCCCATCATATTTCTCTTAGTTAAATCACAAATTCATATTGACCACTTATCTTTGTTATTATTATTTTTATTAAAATAAAAACAATTTTGTACTTCATTTGAAATAAATGACATTTATTTCAAATGAAGTACAAAATTTATTTTCATATTTCTCATAAACATACATTGTATGTTTATGGGAAATATGAAAATAAATGAAATGAAATGAAAAATAAGACTACAATACCTGAATACAATGCAATAAGAATACTCATGAGTAATTCCAATTGTATTTTTATTAGTTAATTCTTATTTTAGGGGTATTTGTACCAAGGTTGTAGGATAATCATGTACTTTTAAGAATGCTATCAGTTGCCTGATGACTGCTTGCAAGGCGCAAAACTCGGAGTAGAAACCATGTCCCATTATAGTCTGCCTGCTCTGCCTAGGCATTGACCACTGTTCGGAAGGATATGTTGCAAAGCATATATTTAAGAGGAAGGGGAGAGCAGCCGGGTCACCGTGCCCCAGAAGAAGAATACCCTCCTCCCCCCCCCCCCTTGTCTTCCTTCGGCAATAATCGGGCAAAAAGTCACAATTTTGGGCCGAAAGGTAAATAAATTTAAACTGGGAAAGTGGAAAATAAAGCAGCGGTGAAATAACGACTGCAGAATATCCCTCGCTGTTCTTTTTCGATAAGCCTAATTAAATATATAACCCGGGTGTAATTATAACAAGCTTGTCACATTTTTACCTCTGACATTTTTACCTCTGACATTTTTACCTCTGACATTTTTTCCTCTGACATTTTTACCTCTGACATTTTTTCCTCTGACATTTTTACCTCTGACATTTTTTCCTCTGACATTTTTACCTCTGACATTTTTACCTCTGACATTTTTACCTCTGACATTTTTACCTCTGACATTTTTTCCTCTGACATTTTTACCTCTGACATTTTTACCTCTGACATTTTACCTCTGACATTTTTACCTCTGACATTTTTTCCTCTGACATTTTTACACCGAGCCGTTTCCGTGATGTTTATATTGTTCAAGTAGTTTGTTTCTTCATACATGTATATGTTGCATTTGTGTACAGGGCCCCCTGGAAAACAGTACTGCGATTACTGACGGGGCCACCCTGTTTAAATAAAACGAAATAAATAAATAAAATAAACACTTATCTGATGTACACGACAGTGTTGTTTAGTCTACTGGTTTAAGCACTTGACTGAAAAAAAGCTGATGGTCATGGTTCGATCTCCGGACCGGTATTCATATCAAATGGCGGGACATTGATTATGGTAGGAATACTCCCCATGCAGGGAGTGCAAATGGTACACACCTTGCACGTGAAGGAGTCGGATGACTGGGATAATAATAAGATTAAAGTAAAGCACTTAGAAACGATTAATCATTATCATCCTTCTCCTTTACCACTAGGTGAAAGCTGCACAGAGAATCACAGTCATAGGAGGAGGGGCGAGCGGTGTGGAGTTGGCTGGGGAGATTGCAACTGACTTCCCTCAGAAAGATGTGACTTTGATCCACTCCAGAGATACCTTACTTGAACCAGCTGTCCGTCCCAAACTAAGAACCATGGTCGAGGAGCAACTTCTTGATCTGAAAGTTAATCTAGTCAAGGGTGAGATTTGACTGTCTTTTAATTACTTTGTGTTGTTGATCAGAAAGATATTCAGACCCTTAATTGGTTTCCTATTTCACCATAGAATATGTATATACAATGTTATGAACTTGAAATTGAAATAAGGTTAATTGAAAGCAAAATATGTCTCCTATATATACTTTCCCCCATGTGTATTAATTTTGGTTTATATCAACGCATTATATTCATGCTCTTTTATTGTATGATGGATTGAGTCGGAACAGAGATGGAAGAGTGTCTTTGATATAATTTGTTCCAAAGAAATGATATGGACCGTTTTAGTGCTTTATATTATATTGTATATACTAGAACATATTATTGATGAATATCTTATTGAACAGTTCTTAAACCCCTTTCCTATACGTTACGTAGAGGAAGTATGAAAATTGTATTTTGTCTTTATTCTTTTATAGGTGAAAAAGTGTTAGACCTGTCTGACATCCCTACAGACCTATCAGGAGGATTTCGAGAAGTGAAAACTGATAAAGGAACAGTCGTACCATCTGATCTCGTCTTCATCTGTATTGGAATGAGTGTTAACAAGACGGTGTACGCAAACAGTTTAGGTGAGCTCAGCGACATTTTACCACTCGGGAATAAACTGTGGGCGGATCTAGATAGGGGTTGATGGGGGGGGGGGGGGGGGGGGTACACCTCCGTTGTCACGGTGAGACCAAAACAATCTTTAGAGGCTTAGAGATATTGTTATATTCCAAGATCGCCCGTAATCTCGGGTAAAAAAAATTGGCTTAAAATCTGGGATTCCGACCATCTTATACTCTCTATCCCTCTATGCAATACCACTGAGAAAGCATTGGGAGGGCCGGTGCAGGTAGGATTTTCGAAATTATGTTATGGGGGTATACATTGTCGGGATGTGTTTCCACCCCACCATTCATGACTATCTTGGATCCGGCTCTGATAACAATTCTTCACGAAACCCACTCTGTAAAGTTTGAAAATAATAAGAATGGAAAATACCCTATAACGCGGCGATGAAATTCCACCAATATTTTCTTGCTTATTGCTCCTCATAGATCTGTCTTTGAATACCTGCTGAAATGTGACTGAAAGACAATAAGTATTTCTTGTTTCTCCGTATTTTGTCTTTATTTATATAATATCATTATTATGTTGTTTTTTTGTTTTTGTTTTTGTTTGGGGGGGGGGGGGAGATATTGCCAATCAATGTACTCTGGCACATAACAAAAGAACCATCTTTGTAATAGTTTACAATGTGTATTTTGTGATTATTTTTCCAGCTAGTTCGATGGATGAGCGTGGAGCCCTTCGTGTGAATTCATACCTCCAAGTCGAAGGCTTTGAGGAAATCTTTGCTGTAGGAGACTGCTCCACTGCTGACCAACAAAAGATGGCTAATAAAGCAAGGTTGCACGGTGAATCAGTCGCAAGTAACATACCCTTGCATGCCGATGGAAAAGCAATGAAACCTTACAAAACACGTGAGTTTCTGTTCATTTTGTCAAAATGTATTCAGTTTGAGCAACAGATTGCGACATGGGTTTCAAAATGCTCAACTCTTTCTCTTTTATTTCAGTGTAAATTATACAAAAGTTGTTTTGCCAACAACAACAAAAAAGGAAAGAAAGACATGCAGAGCTTTTACTTTAACGCTGGGACTGGACATGACTGTAATGTCTCTCATATCACTTCTCTGAATAATAATCTTTGATTAAAAATCGAGTTTGAAGGCTAAATCGAAGCCTTTACTAGAGTATGTGTACCAAAATAGTATAGAGTCATGATATATTGTACAGTATTACCTATGCGAGATAATTTTACCATGTAATTAAAATGCATATTGTGCCTGTTCCGCGAACTAGCAGCTTCAAGCGATATTTTCACTCTTCCGGTGGGTGTGTGTGTGTTTGTGTGTGTGGGGTGTGTGTTTCTCCCTCTCTCTCTTAATTTACTAATATTCTCTCTACATGTCCTTCTTTTTTGTTATTAGCGGGTGTCCTATACGCGGTCTCTGTTGGTCGGAATAGAGGAGGGATTCAAATCGGCAGCCACATCATCATGGGCTCTTGGTTCGTCAAACGAGTCAAGGGCAAAGATATGTTCACAACTCGGCTATGGAGCGATAACAGGCTAACCGTCCCAGCAAGCTAGATATAATTTGTTTTGAGTAGAAATAGGAAAAAAAAAATAAAACGTAATATATAAAGATATCTTTTGTCTGTTCAATGGCTGCAAACTAGTTCAATTTCAGTGTGGTAGCTGCGAACCTGAATAAAGGCGGACTGTACTATTTCCATCATCCATTATACTTTAAGCAGGGCTCCCACTTAGCCGAGTTGGAGCCTCGAGTTGTGGCGAACTGGCGCGATCATATGGCAAGCAGTTTTATCATTAAAACATATTTCTTGATATCACGAGATCGAATTCTTGATATCACGAAATCGAATTCTTGTTATCACGAATTCAATTCTTGATATCAAGAATTACCATTGCTTTACGACGTAAAATTATTTCTTGATAACAAGAATTGATTTATTGATATCAATTAATAATAAAACGGCTTGCCATAAGATCGCACCAGCTCGCCACAACTCGAGGTTCCAACTCGGCTAAGTGGGAGCCCTGCTAGAATGGAAACTTTTCTTGATACATAATTGATATGCTTCTCCTTAGCCGTAGAAAAACTATATCATAAATCGTCCCTCTCTCCCCACAAGTCGGAAATGGAATCAAAAAGCATATATCAACAAATTAACCAATATAATATATGAACGATCACTATACTTCTTGGGCTGTCCGCAATAAAGCTGTAACTGCTATGTATGATCAATGGCAGTAGGCCTAATGGCCTTTGTGTGGGCGGCCGACGACATGATTATGTTAATATTGTGTACCGGTAGATATAATGTATCCCATCAAATGGCACTACAATTATCACTCGATCATAGTCAATTCAAATAGGTAGAATATACAGAGAGTCTGTATAAATTGCTAAGAAGGGAGAGGTATTTATACAATACGGTGGATTCACAATTCACGGCGCTATTTATATACACCAGTGTTAAGTAGATTTCACGTGATCTCATTATGGGAGTCGACAAAATATCATACACTAGGAGATAAGGGGAATTAATCATAATTTTCGGTGGGTTATTTTTTAATAGTTAATCCGGGGTAAAATTTTGCGTTGGATAAACAAATTATCACTATCATTGATACTACTTTAAAGGATTTGGTGGATTTCGGGCATTTCATTTTAACCCAAACTGACCATTATGATTACTTTTGTTGAGGAGTAATTTTTCAAACTGTATCAGCAAAGGAGATTTGATGGCCCTATTCTATGTACAAGACGCTAGCAAAAAAAAAATCGCCAGTTTGACCCCTGTCACATAAAGGCCAGAAATGACAATATGCATTGATTTTTGTCCAGAATCAGGCAATATTTTCAGTCAGAATCTATTGATAGGCGGGTTTTGACATCCAAATCAATCCCATTGCATAAATTTACACATTAAGGACCACTTTGATCATTTCGATTGGTCGCTATCGTTTTTAATTCAAATCTGTAGTTAAGTTTACCCCATATAATGACCATATTATATTCAGGTGTTTGGATCAAAATGTGATTAGTTTTTGTCATGCCAACTAACCAGATTTAATCAAATGTCATATACTGATAGGACTACTTTGTAAGTTATTATAATGTTAATATTTTGTATTATTATATTTCTTGTGATAATCATCCATATAGAAATATGATTCTAGAAGAAATATTAATTATGTCAAAAATTATTAGTTATTAATTTGAAGGTGTATGAATATGACAATTAGAAAAATACTGAGGACATATCTAACTAGTTAGATGTTACAGCTAAATAATGACAACATGTATATTAGTTATTCATTTAATTAGAATCATTAATTAGTATGAAGATTGCTAAAAGTATTGATTTCTTATATTCTTGTATGTATATATAATTTGTAAACTGAATTGTTTGAGTCTACGAATTTTTGTTTATAACCAGAATTGAATTGAATTTTGATGCGGGTCGGAGAAAAACTATAAAGAATGCGTCAAAATCATCTTCTATTTTGTTGGATGTTTTTAATGAGTGCGTTTACAATAGCTTTTCCCGATGGGAAAATGAACAATACATCACTACCTCAATTATATTATACAATACTGAACTACTCTAAATGAGAAATAATCTGACAATACCATTCATGGGTGAAGTAAATAATAATGACATTGAGAGGCATGTACATCTACGTGTAAAAGCTCATTGTCATAATTATACAGAAAACTAATATGATTGTATTAAAACAAGATGGTATATACAATAGTTTTACTTAGTACAAAGTTCACATATAAATTCCTTTTTCCGAATTAGATCTTATCCCATGTAGAAATACACATAAAACTTACAATTAGTACTTTCTGTACTATTGTATAACACATTTTAATAAATTTCGACGATATGTCAAATGTCTTTTTTTGGGATGAATGTTTTTGGTAGTAGGGTAAGGTATGAATACAAACATAATTTATGAAGGGAAGTGTGAAGAGAGAGAGAGAGGAGAGAAAGAGAGAGAGAGAGAGAGAGAGAGAGAGAGAGAAGAGAGAGAGAGAGGGAGAGAGAGAGAGACAACCATCTTGGGATTATAACACACATCACTTATCTGTTGGCTGGCTGGTTTTATTTACGATCATAAAATTTGAAACACATAAAGAAACAAAACACTTAGGCTATATTATTTTACACTGTTTAAAAAAAAAAATTGATAATACAATCAAAATGAATATCGAGGGATCAACCGCTTCAGATCCCCTGACAAAGATGATACTATAATTGCGTACATAATTACCAATGAATACCATGACAGCGATATGTTATTCCCAGGAACTGCCCCGTCCACCCTTTCCAGCCCATGTCTAAATCTAATGTTCGTTTAATTGAAGGGTTTAATCCCAGAAATTAAAATAGATTTATAGTACAGATTACAGTAAAACTTTAAGACTACATAATATATTTAATATCTTCTAGGTTTTCATTTATACTCCTTTCTATAACAATCCAAAGTTATATACGTTTGGATATTCAGTACGACGTAAATCATTACACAATAATTTACCACCATGTTATTTAAGAAATGGAAGTTTGCCATTTTTTTTGTATTCGGCCTAGATAGTAAGTTAGCTCACCTTGTTACCATTTCTTGACCAATATTTCAATCATTTAAAAATAAATTGATCCTGCACATAATGTGGAAACCTCATAATGAACAATGTGTACATCAAATTATTTATGTGATTGAGTTGGCGATTGTGTAAAGTCTCCGAGTCTAGAATATCATGAAATTTCAAGTAGAGACCTATATTTAAAAACAAATTTGTTTTCACTATTATTCTTCAAGCACTTTTTTGTCATTTCTGTAACGTATTCAACTGTGTTTTTGTTCACGAAGGACCATACTACATCTGCATAATCAAAGTGTGGTAAAAAAACTGCTTTGGCCGTCGCATTTTCAAAGTAGTTACTGAAGTTGAATAATGTGTCATAATTCTATGGTACATTCAACAAAGCGCTAAATCCATAGAAGTTTTCATGTGACATGCCAGTAGGGCATTTATTCCTTTCTTGTTGTTGTTGTTGTTTAGAACACGGAGGAGAAAATAAACAGCGAACTGACCTTCAATCAGAAAATTTTAGAGTTGGTTCAATAATTCTTATTAATGAATTTGCCTAAATACTGTACAAAAAATGACCATATTGTTTCAAAGGTCATTTCAGATAAAATACGTGCAACGGTTGATTGGGTTATGAATAGTGATATATTGCGCAAGGGTGAGTTACAATGAATAAGCAACGTTTTTAATTTATACAGGTATTAACACGACCATATTGTACTGCATGATTCAGATACTAGCCATAAAGTCAGCCTATTAACTGTCGTCACGCATGTGGCCTTATAAAAGAACTGTAAATGGTAATCCGTTTATACAATAACCTTATTAATTTGTTTTTCTACTGTTTATATTAAAGCAGGCGCGTACACAGGGGGGGGGGGGGGGGTTAAACCACCCCCTTTGGTATTTTTATGTGTGTAAACCCCCCCCCCCAAACTCCCCTAACCCCCCCCCCCCTTTGGATTTTTTGTTTTTTAATTATTAAAAAAAAATTAAAAAAATTACCCCCATGGCTGACCTAAAACAGGTGACCTTACCCCCCCCCCCCAACGGAGCAAAATGTCAAATTTTCAAATTTTTCTCTCTCTCCCAACTATCTCTTAATAATATATATGTGTGTGTAGGTTGTGGGTGTGGGTGCGCGCGCGTATGTGTGTGGATGTGGGTGTGTGTGCCATAGTACAATGCGGTACATAAACCTCTTCGAAATGCTAGAGCGCCGCAATGGCAGCACAGCTAAAGCCGGGGTAATAATCTCCACGTTCGAAAGCGGTTAGTGATTGTAAAAAGCGCTTTATAAAAACTGAGTATTATTATTATTATTATAATCATCACTAATTTTCGGTTAAAATTAGCACGCATTTTTGTTTCTACTAGGAAACATGAGAAAGATGATGGTGTCCAGATGCTCACTTTTTGATCTATTGTGGAATCAACTGATAATTTCTCATATATTTATATCGATATCTATGGGGGGGGGGGGGGTGTGATATACATGGTAATTTATCTTAATTACATGTCTAATTCAAAATATATACAATTTTTCGAGATTTATAAAAGTCGAAGGTGGCCGCCATAATGACTTTTTCTATCTCCATGGGAGAAACGGCTAAGTTGACTCGTTTTTATATATAAAGAAATAAAATGCTACGAGTTAACAACAAAACATGAATAAATATGTTAAAATATAAACTAAATATGTTGCCTCTGTAAATCTATGTTAATGTTGGTTTTACTATAATGGTAAACGTAAATGAAAATGGTACAGCAACATCAATGCCTGAAGGTACTTCTCATAAAAGTATAATTAGAATGGTTGGGATGAATTGATTCACTACAACTTTCTGAACAAAGTTTTCATTCCATTTTGAAATTTGCGATATTTGAATGTGTATATGAATGGATTAACACACATATTGAGAAAGGCAATATACACGGTGAGAGAGAAAACTCTGCCATTATAAACATCTATATCTCCCCCTAGA